TTTCGCGGACACGGCTATTCGAATAGATGATGTTAACCCTGCAGGGGTGTACTTCTTCACACACGCTCTCACCACTTACCGCCGTTTACACGACATGTACTCGGCAACCTTCAAGCGGAAGCCCAACGTGGGTGTCGGCCACGGCCTACCTAAACACTCAAGTCTCTAGTCCAGGTTTATCGCCTATTCGGGTTCCATCCGTGAGGAGATCCGGCCGGGGTTTCGCTCACAGCCCCAAACGATGTGTACAGGGTTCCGTGACACCAAACGGGCGCCCGGTATACCCGGCCACGTGCCTACCGCATCACAGCCCACCCCTCCGGTCAGCGCTGCGCACGGCCTCCAGCATACTACAAACACCAGAAACTACTTGCAACTCCTGGACAGAGGACAAGGGTGATTAAGAAGCCGAGAGGGTCCATTGGTTTCGGGCCCAATGCGTGGTAGTATATGTTTCATGGATCACAAACACAGAACTCAGTTCCTGAGGACGGCTGCAATGAGACAACCCACCATGTGCTCCTACATGGCCTCTCACCGCTACCTTTACCAAATCGTATTCACACACTTAGCTCACACATAGTAGGACATGTTCATACACCTCTGATTCATCCCCGATGAATCAGACCTGACTCAACTCTAAGCAGTAGCAGGCATGACAAACAAGCATGAATGAGTAGGCACAACAGGGCTCAAACAACTCCTACTCATGCTAGTGGGTTTCATCTATTTACTGTGGCAATGACAGGTCATGCAGAGGATAAAGGGGTTCAGCTACCGCAGCAAGTAACAGTTGAATCGTTGTTGTCCTAATGCAGTAAAAGGGAGCAGGAGCGAGAGAGTAGGATTGTATCAGAATGAACAAGGGAGTTTTGCTTGCCTGGCACTTCTGAAGATAATATAGCTCTTCATCGGTGTCATCGAACTCATCGTCGGAACACGTCTATCGAGAGGGGGCAAATACCGGCAACAGAGAAGAAATACAATCAATGCAATGCACAATATGATGCATGATCATGACATGGCAATATGCTGTGATTTGAGCTAATGCAACTAGCAGCAAGTTAAATGAAGTTGGTTTGAACCCTAGGTTCAAATTCAAACTCCACATGAGCATTTCAAATGCCATTTATTCAAATTGTTGTATACAGCAGATTTTAGTTGTTCAAACATGCATAAAAATGGTACAGATGGATAGATTGGATTTTTCTGATCATTTTTCATATATAAATTATTTGATTTGGAGCTACGATTGATTTTATATGATTTTTAGAAGTTTAGGACATTTTCTGGAATTTCCTGAATTAAAATAAATCCAGAAAATACATGTTGCGTCAGCATGACATCACCCTGATGTCAGCAGGTCAACTGGGCGCCTCCAGGTCAAACCTGACCAGTGGGGTCCACTGGTCAGTGACCCAGTGCTGTTCAGTGTCAATGGCAGGTGGGTCCGGGTCAACAGACACGTCAGCCCAGTCAACTCTGACTGGTGGGTCCCGCGTGATTATAAACTAATCTAAACAGAAATAAAACCTAGATTATTTAGGGCGTGGGGCCCAGGTGTCAGTGAGCTAGGTGGGTTAGTTAGGGCGTCATTAGTGGCTAATGACAGCGCCACGTCAGCTTCGCCAGAGTTCTGCCGGCGGCGACCAAAACCATGGCGGAGGGAGTCGGGATTTCGCTATGGGGCTCCATTTTGAGCGTGGTTTGCTGCTACGGCTTGCTGGAGCTCTCGCGCATCTACTGGTGGTGGCGGCAGCAGCTGGGATGGCCGGAGTTGACAGCGGCGAGCATTTCCGCGGCGGTCGGAGTTCGGGCACCTGCGGGTTTGGCGTTGTAGTGCACGGGAAGGGGAGCTGGTGTGTTTTTTAGGCTCCTGGTGAGGTGTGGAGCAAGTTGCCGTGCTCGGGAGTGAGCTATGGTGGCTCTGGCCTCGTCTGCGTCATCGCCGGCGGCGAGGAGCTCACGACCCCGGTGAAAAGGGCGGCTAGAGTGCGGGAACGAGCGCGGGGAGGAGGGGGAATGGTCGTGGAGCTCACAGTGATCTCAATGGAGGACTCGGTGGGCTCGGGGAGGGGTCGGAGCAAGCGGGGCGGCGAGGGGGATCTCCGGCGGCCGACGGCATGGATGAGGATGATGGCGTCGCTTCGGGCGTCCCGCGAGCGCGTGCTTCGTCTTGGGGCTCCGTGGCGTCGAGGCGGAGCCTCGGGACAGCACAGAGAGGCGAGGGAGAGGCGATGGCCGAGGTGGTGTTCGTCGGCGGCAGCGACAGCGCTCGGTGGTTGCGTGTGAGAGAGCCAGAGGAGGAGAGGAGCTCGAGGAGAGAGTGAGAGGGCCTGGGGGGTTGCGTGGCCGTCTCCGTGGCGTCGGAAGGGCCTCGAGAGCGTGAGGCAGGCAGGGAGGAGGCCACGGTGTCGCCAGCGCTCGCCACCGAGCTGCTTCGGGGCGAGGGAAGGAAGACGACAGGAAGAGGTGGGCTGGGCCAGGTGGCTGGGCTGGCCGACTGGGCCGGCCAGGTGGGCTGCGGTAAGTCAGGTGAGGTTTTCTTTCTCTCTCTTTCTTTTTTTTGTTTCAGTTTTCTATTTTGTTCTGTTTTGATTTGATTTAGTAAAAATACTAAACCACTTGATAAAATGCTGAAATTAATTATGTGGCTAGAACTAAAATATACCAAACCACATAAAATGTTCCAGAATTATTGGACATATATTAATTATATAAGAAATATATATCCAATGCAAATAGTTATTGAATTAATTCAAAGGCCCAAAATAAATGTTTTTGAGATACCAAAAATATTGGTTTGACTTTCACATTTTGCCAATATTTTCAGAGACTAAGAGGAACATTTTCTTGGAGTCATTTGATGAGATTTAAATGTTGGTTATTTTTAGGGGTATTCTGAGGCTTTGAAAATTCCTCAATTCAAATTTCATTTGAATTTAAACATGATGCACACATGGAAGCTGGCATAGGTCAGACTATAATTAGGGATGTGACATGCTCCAAATCTCTGGATGGTGAGGCAGCTGCGCGGCCTAGGAGACGGAGGAGGGAGGCCCCTGGTCAGATCCATGGCCCTGGTCATTGGTTGTGAGCAGCAGAGGTGCGCCGCAGTGGCTAGGGTTGGCCGCCGCTTCCATGGGGCCGTTGCAACCACCGTCGCCATGGATCACGGGCCACCATCATCGATTGGAGGTGGGGAGGTGAAGTCGGAGGACAGGGACGAGGAGACGAGAGGCGTGGCGGCAGAGGACGAGGACAGGGAGAGGCAACATGTGGCGGCGGCGGATGAAGGAAGAGTTTGGGGACGGGGAAGTGTTAGGGTTAGGTTTTATATGGGGAAAGTTTAGGGCTTTAGGCGGGCTTTTTGCGGGCTTGCGGATCTGTACTGGGCCTTTCATGACGGTTTTCAAAACTGTCAGCGGAAATCCGTCATGCATTAACAGGTTTCTTGTAGTGGTACATGATACTCAACTGATCTGCTAGTCATATTTGTATTTCATGGATATTTGAACTTTTGTTAGTGAAATCTCAGCAACTTATGTAGTACTATATATATTTATGTGTACCGTACACTATTTTAACTTTATTGGCATTCAAAAAGAAATTCACGCTGATTTGCTCACTGTTTTGACAGGCAAGCTTTCTCATTACTTTTGTTTAGAACTTGCAATATGACAGTAAACAATTTGTTATGTCCTCTTATAAAATATAAAACTTCTTACTAATGTATTGTTCTTTCCTTATCAACTGTCAATTTAGTTTTGCGCAAAGAAGTTATCCATCCATCAATAGCACAGAAACACCTAATTTTCTTTTTGACACGATCGATGTGATCTAAGAGTTCTTCCTTGTATCAATTTTCAGCAACGTGTCAGCTGTTTTTTCAGTTGATTTGGAGCGTCTGGGCTAGCTTAAAATGTTTGCATGGCTCCTACACCTCAACTGCTTGTGGTGGAACGACCGGCTCCAACGTAGAGGCTGGCCGAACTCCTACTTTTGCCAGCTCTGCCTCAGAAACCTGGAAACCTCGGCGCATCTCTTCTGGAGCTGCCCGTTCTCAAAGGCAGTATGGTCTAGTTTGTCTTATTGGTAGCACTGTCAGGGCCTCATCGAAGCATGCCGGCCAAACGACTGAAGCTCCCTGGAAAAGGTCGAAGCCATGATCTCTGCAACAGGGCCTGCACACGCGAAAGGAGCCAAGTCTCTGATCATGCTGGTGCTCTGGAAAATTTGGCAAGAACGGAACAGCCGCGTCTTCGAAAAACAAGAGGCTACGGTGCAAGCTGTGATCGCTAGTATCATGAGAGAACTTTCGCTCTGGCAACAAGGCGGTTTCAAACAGATTCTGAGCCCCTTCGGGGACCCTCCATGAGATAGTAGTTGTTCATCAGGGTGCTTCAGGCACCAAGCCTTTTCCTGTTCTTCTGTTTACCTCCTTGATCCATGGATCACCGCCTTTATCACTTTGTCATCTGCTCCCTGCTTAATCAATGAAACCCCAGCGTTTTGCTGGCTCTTCAAAAAAAATTCCTTTTTGCCTGCCGTTTGGCAGACAAGGCGCGCCCCCTATCTAGTGATCATGATTCTACGCTAGTTGCTCCCTCATCATGCATCCAGTTGCTGAGAGGCGCTATGGCTTCGAGGGAGGACCAAAAACAAGCGCCACACACAATCCCCACAGATGCTCACCGCGCAGAGCATCCGCGAATGCCCAGAAAGCGCACGCGGAGTTAGCAGTCGTAGACCCATCCCCATACCACTCTTCACTGACATCGGGCCCGAACCCGGACCCCGGCCTTGACTAGCCCGCGCGTGGGTCGCTTTCTCTGTGGACGTAGCCCGCCTCCCAGGCCCGGCAGTCGTCGTCGCCGCACGAAAACAAAAATAAAAAAGAAGAGGCCCGCGTCACACGTGGGCCAGCGTCGTGTGATCTCGCTGCCGGGTGGTCCCGCAAGGAGCTCGCGTCATCCACGGTCGGTGGCGGCACACGACTAATGTTCCTCTGCGTTCGCCCCCTGTGCCTCGCTACGCGCACAACGCCCTCGCCCTCGCCCGCGCACATCTCCTCGGCTGGCCCCTCCCCCACTCGGCGCCTCCCCGCTTCTGGTCGCCCCGCCGCTCGCCGCTTGCCGCGCCACCCATTGCACTTCGCCATGGACGCCTCCGAGTGCGCCGCCCCTCCGCCATCTTCGAAGAATCAGCCGTCGATTGTGTTTCCGGGCGATTTTTTGATGGGCTCCTTGATCTGTCGCAGGTACCCGCACATGCAAGGGGGCGCGTCGTCTTCGTCGTCGTCCTGCCGCGCCGCCGACGCCGCCGCCTGGGACGCCGTGCAGCAACAGAAACGCCAGCGCTGCCAGGTACTACTCGTCGCGCGACCTTGCCGTGTGCGCAAATTCCGGCCGTAACCTTCCTTCTTCTGGTTTGCTACCCGAGCGGCTTCCGTGCGATCCGATGTTGCGGCCGTTGCCTTGTTGTAAGGCGTCGATGCGGAGCGTGACACGAGGGTTTTGGCCTACTTGGGTCTTGTTGTTTTTATTTTAATAATTAAATAATCCGTTTTTTCGTGGGGTTTAGATTTGTGGATTTGAGGCGTGATTTTGATTTCGAGGTGGAAATTATCTTAATACCATAAGGGTAGTAGGGTTCGCGGGGACAATTTTGTCTTTAGGTTTCTGCAGATTGATTGTGGTAGAATTGGGGTTTACTGGGCACTTGACTCAAACATTGTACGGGTTTACAGTAATGTGTTTATTGACCTGATTTTGTTTATTTTTCTGTGTGCCTTTAGAGACTAGAAAGAAATGTCTGGTGTTCCTTTATAGTTTCGTTTTGTTTGTAGAATTGCAGTCCGTGCTTGTATATGTTGTTTGCCGAAGTTTTGATCTTCTTGTGGATAGAAGGACGAGTACATTAATATACACGGAAGCTGCAAGGAATACATTCTAGCATATTGAATCGCTGGTGTCTCTAGGGTGTCGACATATTGCTGATGTACTTAAGCTTCAAACAGTTGTTTGATTATGGAGGGGTCTGCGTGTAGAATTGTTGGTTCTTCACCTGGGCAAAGTTGGCTACAACATATCCATGACTGTATCAGTTTGATAGGTGTCTCTTAAATTTGTTATGCATAAACTAGCGGTAAGCTGGTAGGTGTTCCGAGTAGTTTTACATGTGAATTGTTAGTAGAGCATGCAGGAGTGTGAGCTATAGAGCTATGATTTTTTTTGGGACAGTGATCTAGCAATGCAAGACACCTGTGGCAGGCCACAAGGTCTCATGTTGAACATGAGGACAATTTCCCTTGGGATATTCGAGTACCATTGTGGAAATGAGAAGGTTTTGGAATATCATGTTTTCAATAGCACTTTCTAGATTTATGTATTAATTATTTCTGAATATATTTTTCCATGTTCAAACTTCAGGCCTCTCTGATTCACAGGATTTGCAAAATGTGGGAATAGAGAAAACGTAGGAATAGAGTGGCATGCCATTGTAAGGGTGTTTGATTGTGCACAGGAAAAACGTAAGATTATTTCAAGGAGGTTGGAGTGGATGGAAAATTTCCTATGAAATCTAGTGCAAATAATCTAAAATAAATCCTATGGTTTCCAATCGTATGAATCAAACAACCCATGGAGGAAAAATTCTAAGGATCAGAATCCTCCAAAATTCCTTTGAGAATCCTTTGAATCAAAGAAGCCCTTTGCCTGTTAAGTTAATACTACAGATCTGCTCGACATTTCTTAGTTTGATGTGGATCTGGGCATTGCATGTATTCTGCTAGCTGTTTGTGCGTCACAGAGAGAAATTAAATAGTTGTGATGATCTTGAGCTTTTGTACTTGTTTATTTATTGGTTGAAGTGACTTTTTATACCCTCTCTTACAGGGGCATTACCTGTTTTGTGGACAAAACAGTAACTTAAAAATTGTCAATTTAACTTTAGGTCATGCTCCCTCCGTCCCAAAATTCTTGTCTTAGATTTGTCTAGATACGAATGTATCTAATATTAAAACGTGACTTGATACATCCATATCTAGACAAATCCAAGACAAGAATTTTGGGACGGAGGGAGCATATTATTGCTAAGTCAATTTTATACGGTTGTCAGTCCACAATAGACATGGGCTAGTTTAAAAAACCGAGAGGAACTGGTGGTTCAACCGGAAAAAAAAATGGAGCCTGCTCTGCTCTGGTTCAGTGAGAAGGCAGTTCTGCAACTGACCCGGCCAGAATCAGTTGAACTGTGATTTTCCAACAAACATATGACTGGTCCAGCTGGCCTGCAGTGCAAGGATTATGAGTTGAACGACTAGTCTAGTAGTCTCAGTCGGGTTGTCGATTAGGTTCTTCGTGTAGACTAGCTCTGTGAGTCAAGGGCTGGAGCGACTAGTCTTGGACTAGTTGGCATGTTTGAGTCGATCGACTCAATTTTGGAGCTTGTTCTGCTCCTTCTGCTCCTCCCCTGGATCTGCCCCTCTGCTGTTGTGCTCCTCACCTGCTGTGCTCCCTTGGATCCGCCCCTCTTCTGCTGTGCTCCTCGTGGATCCGCCCCTCTTCTGCTGTTGTACCAACTATTCTCTCCCTTCTCTCCATCCCTTCTTCTTGGGTTTGATTTCTCCCCTGCCTTCTTGGTTGGTGGAGAAGCTAAGACTCTGGCCATTGGATATTATAGTTGGCACAGCCCCAGGCTCTTCACCCACTTCCCATGCATTCAATTTTTATTGTATACTGTACTGTACTATATAGTACTCTCTTTGTCCGGAATTACTTAATGGATGTATCTAGACATATTTTAGTTCTAGATACATCCATTTTATCTATTTCTGCGACAAGTAATTTCGCACGGAGGGAGTATATACTACTCCCTCCGTTCCTAAATATAAGTCTTTTTAGAGATTCCAATATGGATTACATACTGATGTATATAGATGTATTTTAGAGTGTAGATTCACCCATCTTGCTCCGTATGTAGTCCATATTGGATTCTCTAAAAAGACTTATATTTAGGAACGGAGGGAGCATGTATTAGTAGCTGGGTACTGTAAGTTGAGTGCTACAGTACCATGTGTATTTTGGAGTGTAGATTCACCCATTTTGCTCCGTATGTAGTCCATATTGGAATCTCTAAAAAGACTTATATTTAGGAACGGAGGGAGCATGTATTAGTAGCTGGGTACTGTAAGGTGAGTGCTACAGTACCATGTCGACTAGTCCAGCAGTAGTCTAGATTAGTCACGATTGGTCTATGAGTGTCAACCTCGGCTTGACTCGTAATTCTTGCTTTAGTGTCACTGTGCTGGGAAAATATATTTGTGTGGGGCTGGGATTGGACCTAGTACCTCAAGGCTCCTCGGTGAAGCGACGGACTATTCTAGCCACCTGGACTAAGGTTGTTTGGTGACTTAGGATGGAAAGATAACTTATTCATACCTGATTTATGTACCATCACACTAATAATACCACAAGCGAATGTCTAATGCTGGCAGCGAAGAGCAAAGGATCATGATATGTGACTTAAATTTACAACTACTGGTGGACTCATGTTTGTATTTATTGTGGATAAGTTTTCTGTTTGCTTATAACTACATTGGCATATTTTACAGGGATCATCATCCGGTGATAAAGTTGGATCCTGTACAGAAAATAACTCTTTCAAAACATCTGAAGCCGAGCTACAGAATTTTGACTCTGGTGAAATTGAGGAAGAAGATTATTATGTAGATGATGAAGATGAAGGCTGCTACGATGATGACAATGAAGGATCTGACTATGAATTTGATGAAAGTGATTTCAATCAGCAGCTGGCTGATAAATTTGACGATTTAGATCTGCCTCCTGGTGTGGAGGCTTCTGTACCATGGTTGCAGAAAGCTGCAACTGATGACGGCCCTGGCATTTTTAAGTCAATGTCAGAAATAGAGGATGAAATTGGTAAGAAATACAAGTTCTTCAAACAGTTTGACACTGTCGAGGATTTCTCTGATCATCATTATGCTAATAAACCTGTTGGAAAGGTAAAATCATATGCATATTGCTTTATTTTGTACCTTCTTTTCGACTCGATACTTATTTTGTTCTTTAACTTCACTCCAGACAGGGAAAGAGTGGACAAAAAGAATTCAGCATGACTGGAAACTTCTGGAGAACGATTTACCAGGTCAGCTATTTCCATGAAAGAAAGTATAAATATGTGCTTAAAACGCTCCCCGCAAGTGATAGACATAAATTTTGAAGCACATTGAGGATCTGATTTGACCCACCCACTTCTACATTACTCAGTTTTGCTTCGAATTTTGTGCAAATTTAGTTCTTCTGAGGGCATATGTTCTCTTGTCAAAGAAAGCTCTATCGTTAATGTTTTTTAATGTGTTTTAAATTTTTTCATCTTATTATTCGAAGAATGGAGACGGAGTATATTAGTACCAATCTTCAAGAACAAGGGGGATGTTCAAAGTTGTACTAATTACCATGGAATTAAGCTGATGAGCCATACAATGAAGCTATGGGAGAGAGTCATTGAGCACCGCTTAAGAAGAATGACAAGCGTGACCAAAAATCAGTTTGGTTTCATGCCTGGGAGGTCGACCATGGAAGCCATTTTCTTGGTACGACAACTTACGGAGAGATATAGGGAGCAAAAGAAGGACTTGCATATGGTGTTCATTGACTTGGAGAAGGCCTATGATAAGATACCGCGGAATGTCATGTGGTGGGCCTTGGAGAAACACAAAGTTCCAGCAAAGTACATTACCCTCATCAAGGACATGTACGATAATGTTGTGACAAGTGTTCGAACAAGTGATGTCGACACCGATGACTTCCCGATTAAGATAGGACTGCATCAGGGGTCAGCTTTGAGCCCTTATCTTTTTGCATTGGTGATGGATGAGGTCACAAGGGATATACAAGGAGATATCCCATGGTGTATGCTCTTTGTGGATGATGTGGTGCTAGTTGACGATAGTCGGACGGGGGTAAATAGGAAGTTAGAGTTATGGAGACAAACCTTGGAATTGAAAGGGTTTAGGCTTAGTAGAACTAAAACCGAGTACATGATGTGCGGTTTCAGTACTACTAGGTGTGAAGAGGAGGAGGTTAGCCTTGATGGCCAGGTGGTACCTCGGAAGGACACCTTTCGGTATTTGGGGTCAATGTTGTAGGAGGATGGGGGTATTGATGAAGATGTGAACCATCGAATCAAAGCCGGATGGATGAAGTGGCGCCAAGCTTCTGGCATTCTCTGTGACAAGAGAGTGCCACAAAAGCTAAAAGGCAAGTTCTACAGGACGGCGGTTCGGCCCGCAATGTTGTATGGCGCGGAGTGTTAGCCGACTAAAAGGCGACATGTTCAACAGTTAGGTGTGGCGGAGATGCGTATGTTGAGATGGATGTGTGGCCACACGAGGAAGGATCGAGTCCGGAATGATGATATACGAGATAGAGTTGGGGTAGCACCAATTGAGGAGAAGCTTGTCCAACATCGTCTGAGATGGTTTGGGCATATTCAGCGCAGGCCCCCAGAAGCACCAGTGCATAGCGGACGGCTAAAGCGTGCGGAGAATGTCAAGAGAGGGCGGGGTTGACCGAATTTGACATGGGAGGAGTCCGTTAAGAGAGACCCGAAGGATTGGAGTATCGACAAAGAGCTAGCTATGGACAGGGGTGCGTTGAAGCTTGCTATCCATGTGCCAGAGCCATGAGTTGGTTGCGAGATCTTATGGGTTTCACCTCTAGCCTACCCCAACTTGTTTGGGACTAAAGGCTTTGTTGTTGTTGTTGTTGTTGTTTGTTGTTGTTGTTGTATTATTCACTTTCACCTACAAATTTTTACAAAGCCTGCAGCTCACTGCTGACTCTCCTGGGTTAAAATTGCTAAAGCTTAGAAATGTGCATGGTTGTACTATTTACATGAATTATTGTTCTTCTTATTTCTGTGCAGCGTCCATATACGTCCGTGTCTCAGAGAATCGAATGGACCTTCTCAGGGCTGTGATGATCGGTCCTCAGGGAACACCCTACCATGATGGCCTTTTCTTCTTTGATGCTCAATTTCCTGCTAGTTATCCTGCAAGTCCTCCAGTAAGTATATTGACATTTTGGTAACTTCGTATGTAATGTATTTCCATATGTTGATTGAAATAACCGTTCTGGTGCTTTTGCAGACTGTATACTATCATTCTGGAGGACTTAGGCTTAATCCAAATTTGTATGCTTGTGGAAAAGTCTGCCTTAGCCTCCTAGGCACCTGGGAAGGTCATGGTTGTGAGAAGTGGAACTCAGCTCACTCAACCATGTTACAAGTGCTAATCTCCATTCAAGCTCTCGTATTGAATGAGAAACCATACTTCAATGAGCCAGGATATGAAACATATGCCAATAATGCTAGTGGGCAGAGGACTGCCTTGGAGTATAATGACACAACATTTCAATACTCATGTAGGACAATGTTGTACTCGCTTCGTAGGGCTCCACAGGTAACATACTGCTAATTATCAAGCTCTCGCAGTTCCCGACATCGGTGCACAAGTACTCACTGTTCCGAAGATTAGTCCAAAATGTAACTTGCTGAATGTGGATGTATGTGATGCTATTTTGTTAGAAGGGGAGATAGACAACAGAAAAAATCTACTGAACTGCAACATCAAACTATTAACCATCCGATTTTTGCCCTCGGGTGGTCTCACAAATGGTCCGTTTGTTAATGTGGATACCACATGTCCACCATGTCACAGCCAGAGCCAAACAATCTAAAATAAGCTCCACCATTTGTATAAATATATCTTTCACAAGAAATGCTAGAAATGGAAGAGAAAAATTGGTAGAAACAGATAAGTAAACAGAATTTGGTGACATGGCAGTGATGTGGTGCACATGTGGCATGCATGTCACCAAAAGCTACTTAACTACTTGTGAAACTACTCTAGGGTGATTTGTTTTACTATTTGAATAGTTTGTGAGCCAGACTGTTTTTGAGTTTACTGTTAAAAAGTGAACTTGTGCCAGAGTTCAGAGTTGAATGGTGGACTTCTTTCTAGAAGAGAACATCATCTATTTGTGTGGACCTTTGAACATTTGAACCATGGAGTGACACGGGATTACTCTTGTGGCCTAGACGGGTAGAAGACCCTCCACTTGGGCATTAGCTTGGACTCTGTTTTTGTGTTATCCTGAAACCACGCAAAGTATGAAGGATGTCAATTTTAGGGTTGCTAAGTGGACCAATGCAAGAATTCAGGGTTGAAAATATTTTGTTTTCTCCCTCTTTTTGATATGGCAGTTCTTTTTGGTGTCTAAGACAGCCATAGCAGTAAAATCTTGCTAGAGTCAGTAAAGGTTGCTAGATTCCATATCTAGTTTGCGCAGTGTACCACAGCACAACAACCACAAATTGGGCACTTAATTTGGTTGTAGTATGGAAGTTGTTATTATCTTCAGTAGGGTGCGGTGCACAGCTCACACACCAGAAAATCAAATTAACCTTTATCGTTGGCTGTTGCTTTGCTTGTTTCAGCACTTTGAAGATCTCGTTGCCGGCCACTTCCGAGAGCGCGGCCGTGCCATTCTGGCTGCATGCAAATATTACATGGAGGGTAACAAAGTTGGGTCCGTAGTTCCTGACGAGGATGATGAGGACAAGGAACTGGAAAGCGCAAATGCAGAAGGATCCAGCTCCAGCAGTGCAGTGAAGCCGAAGAATAATCAGGTAGATTTGCGTGCAGGCGCAGGTGTAGTTCGCCCTGCATCCTTCAAGACCAACATGGAGGTTCTGTTTGAAGAGCTCCTGATGGAGTTCAATGTGAAGGGTGCTGACACCAAGAAGTTCTGTGCCGAGAAGTTGAAGAAGAGCCAGCCTGCTGCTGCTTGAAGGATCCGGCTGCAGCACCAGATATCTGTGGTGGTTCCATAATGGGAGTGAAATCCATAAAATGATGGTTTCATTTCTTGCCTAACTATAGGAATGCTATGTAGATATCTCTTTTTTTGCGCCCTTTGCCGTACTGGTCCTGTGGACTCGGAAGTGGAAAAAAGTGGTGGTTTTAGATGCTAACTGAAGTGTCCACCCCCTTAGCTTTGGAATATCGTTTGCTTATGAGTTACTAGTACGTGAGGCTACATGTGCATTATGTAGCGATTTAGTTCATGAGGTCCTCCCAATGTTTTATCCTAGATGCCAATGTAGGAATCAAGAGGGCATGTCAATACATTCTGAAGGATGGAGCATTGGTTCCTTTTAGCCAATAGCAGTTGGCAAGTGGCAAGTTGATTAGTGCTACTAATCTAAGTAATGCTGCAGCGCGTGAAAAAAGCTATAACATTTTTCGAAGATACTGGATCTGCATTTCAAAGATAGGAATAGACCTGTTTAAGAATTCGTCCAATTAACCAGTTAACTTTTTTGAGCAATCTCTATTCATAGGGTCACTGAGTAGCCGATAAACCAATTAATCATTTGATTAATTGATTAACTTGCCGATTAGCCTATTAATCTCCTACTCGCTAGCCAACCATGTACCTACCAGTTAATGACTACTTTAACAATAATTTGCCAATTAGCCTATTAATCCCCCTAAATGCTATCCAACTGATTAGTCACCAGTTAATGATTTCGTCAACAATGAGAATAGAAAAGTCTACTAACGATAATATCAGTTCAAGCTATTACTTGTCCTTTTTGTTTCTTAGTGTGCAGATTAAATTACATCTGGATCCCGCAAGCCTGAAGCGGTGTTTGTTGAAATGCCTGTGATTACAAATAGTCAGGAGTATATGACAAGAAACTATCACATTGCAGGCTATGGCTACAAAAATCCACCACTTTTCTTAATCTATCTATCTATACCTACTAAAAAAAGGTATTTTTAGTCTGTTTTGCTATTTTATAGAAAATCCCCTAACGTTTTTGACACTAAACCCACAGTACATATCAAATGTTTTTAAAAATACTCATATCTTCTAAACTGTGGCTCCAAATTTGACATGTTATATATGGAATTTGATTAGAAACATGTAGCATCTGAATATGATGTTATTTTACCTGTTAACAATTTAAAAAAAGTGTAGAATCTGAATATGATATTATTTTACCTGCTAACAATTTAAAAATACTATCTAGATTGCAATGTTAATCAACAATGCATTATCCGTCTTTTTTTCATACCGGTACTGATTCAGATTGGGATTAACACCTCAAGAAAAATCAGGATTGGACATGAAATTAAAGATAAATTTGATAGACACTCAATAGATAAGGACATGCATGACAAGAAATAAAAGAAGGACCCAATAAAGATGGGATGTCCGCTATAAAAGAAATAAAAGAGAAAAGGCAGAGGAGATCCGATAAAGATGATATGTTGCGTTATTATCCTATATATAAGAAGAAAAGAGAGAGGATATGCATGAGAAAAAGTAAAAAGGAGGCATGCATGACAAAAATTAAAATAATAGACACCTTTGATAAGATATAAATAGTGATGAAACATGGGCCAATACCTATGACATGTATGGCAAAAAATAGTGATGAAATAGGGGCGTAAGTACCTGCGTCCACATGAGACCATACAAAAATGTTCTTTTCCAGACAAAAAAAACTCTTTTTATGATTAAAAAATCTTGTATCTTTTTAACAACACTTCATGTATTTAAGGAATATGCATGTGAAAAAAAGTGTTCAAGAGTTACCCTAAGTTGGCGATTCTTAAACTAAAACTGCCATTGATGCACACATGTCTCCATAGTGTGCTAATGTGTCATCGTTTGTTTTTGTCGTTTTTCTTTACTCGCCCATAACAACACCCCATTCCGAACATGACATGAATAAATGCATGATCGCTTGCCCGTTTCTTTGTACGGATTAAATCTACGTGCAAGCCGTGTTGAAATAGAACACCTGTAGAATTTTAAATTGCATTTTTATAGGTTGACCATCTTTGTTTGGGCCGTAGCTACAATTCTCAGACTATAGACGATTTTTTGTAAATTATTCTTCCGTTGCAACACACAGGCCTTTTTATTAGTCTTTCAGAAAACTATCATAAAATTGGTTAGCTGTTCCAAAACCCTAGTCGCCAAACGGTTAAAAATTAAGCGAGGTTATGACAGGTAGGGCCCACTCGTCAGGGTTTGGTCGGCTCCTGGATGACGGCGCGCATGGTGACGACCGTTAGGCTGCAGCCATTCCGACCGGGCCAAGTCAACCCAAGCCGTCTCCTCTGTCTCCCTCCCCCGCTCACCCTCACTTCACCTCCCCTCTCCTTCCTTGACCTAGGCGATGGCGTCGGCAGTGGCGAAACTGGTCGACGACGGCGACTCTATGGGGCGACCTAGCACGGGGGGCGATGGTGGAGACTATTTCGAGGTGGATAACTGGCTTGGCAGTGGCAGCTTCGCTACAGAGCCGCCGCCGCCGCAGCCTACACCTCCGGCAGCGCCACAGTCGGTGAGGGGACAACCTACAGCTGCTGCACAACCTACGCCCTATGCACGGGAGAATCAGGAGCTGTCCCTTGAGTACGGAGCAGCCAAGGCTCTTGCTGGCGCCGTCGTCGCGTATCCGCCAACTCCAACCGCTAGGCCTCGACATTTGGAGGGGTTGAGTAAGTTTTCTCTCTTCATCTACTTGTTGACCAAACCCTAGTTTAATTTAGTACTGCTAGGTTAGTAGACAGTCCATGAAATCTTTAGTTAGGTTTGAGCAAACCCTAGTTTAAGCAGTAGTGATTCAGATTAGTATATGTATTTAGTTGTATGCATTAGTGATTCAGATTAGTACATGGATTTTGTACTGAGTGTGCATGGGTGGTTTAGCCTAGCACTGAATTTAAAAATGTACTTGAATTTGTATTGAATTATGTTAAATATGGATGTAGTCACAAATTTAGTACTCAATTTTCTAGTCAGTAGGCTAAATAGGGATGCAATTATGGATGCAACATAGTTGTGGCAGTACAGAATTTTCTTGCAGTTAGGTTTCTGAATTTTGTACAAGTTACAAAAAGTTGTGAAGTAATACATTCTGTAATACAGGCTGGATGATGACATTTGGGAGGTGAGGCTGCATTTCCAGGGCTGAGATAACATGGAAAGAAGCTTCTCTCTTTCATACATCACTTTTCTCAATTTGATTGCACTTACTGAGATTGAAGGCTATGGGTCAGATGACTACATGTACTGGGTAAAGGAAGTAGGAATTGGACAGGATGGCTTATTTCTTCTAGACAGTCAAGATGCAGTTGAAGAAATGATTGACCACTCTGATTCATAGTTCTGAACATCATAATGGCCAAGGCTAATGAAGAGCAGAGGACGGACGCGTCATGGGGAGCTCGACGGCGACGCGACGGCGGCGATGCAGGGAGGGCAGCGACTTAGGTTGATGCAGTCAAGCACGAGGAAGCTACTAGACAAGGTTTGAGGTCGAGACGAGGAGGGAGACGATGGGAACAGGGCCGAGAACGAGCTAGAGCATGAGTTTAGCTGGTCGCGACCCGTGGTCACCGCGTGAACTGGCATACGCGGTGCCAAGTGATCGGCCACATCATGTCCAGTAGATGGACCCTGATACCCTTAGTCCAAATGCAGAAAGAATTTGGTCCAGGGGCAAATAAGTGATTTGCAGGTTGATCCAAAACATTGTGGCAGCAAGGTGTTTGTGATACAGGGGGACAAATCCAGGAGAAGCCAGGGGCTGAGCTTTGGCATGGCTTGGTCACAGGCAAAGAACACTGTGATGACCAAGTATCCGCCCAAATGGAGGAGTCTAGATGGGGGTTGCTGTAGAAAGTGACCCACTGGTCAGAAATGGAGATTAGAAAGTTGCACTCATATGAAGAGGCAAGTTGAGATGAAATTGGGCATGACCCAATGATTTGAAGATATGAAGTTGCTCAAAAAGTTTCAGGCCATTTAGATGAACCAAACCATCACTTGCTTCACAAAGCTTCATTACGGACAGAAACTTAGAAAAATTGCACAGGGCAATTGGCTAGATGAAATGGGCCACAACTTGGTGGAGAGAGTTGATATGGATAGGAGAATGTCCTAAAAAAATTCAGCTTAAATGAAGCAATATAAAATATAGTTGCTTCAGAAATTGAAAATCTGACCAGAAACCAAGATTTGGAGCTGTGCTCACATAGAAAGGTTACATGAGCTCAAATTTGGTGGAGAGTGATTATTTGATCATATCAAGGACCTTGCAAAATTTCAAATCATTTGGATATGCCTAGATAGTACTTCCTTCACAATGTCTTCCCTCAGATAGGAACTTTGAAAAATTGATCAGGAATATTTACTAAGCAAATGAAGTTGAATTTTGGCACAGGGCAATGATATGGATAGGAAAAGATGTCCAAAAAGTTTGGGGTCAATTGGGCAAAGGTAAATAGCACTTGCTTTGCAAAGTGCCATTTAGGGTAGAATAGGAAAAAAATTATTGGAGGATGATTTTTGAACATGGCAATGAAAAGTTTTGCCATATTTGAGCAAGATAGAACCCAAACAATTTATGAGAATTATTTTGGAATTTTGGGAGTGAAAGAAATATAGGTTGCTTCACAACCTAAGGCAAATAGGATAATTCCTTTAATAGAAAAGGAATATTCCCAATAAAAGAATATTGGGATTTGTGTTAGGATGAAAATGACATGATCTAGGGATGATAATGAGGATGAAAAGCCACTATAAAACCTAGGAAGACATGATCTTCCCAAGTTTTGGAACCACATAGCCACAAAAAAGAAAATCAAATTAAGAAATCCAAAAAATCAAAGGAAAAAGAAAAGGGCAAAATCCAGGGTGTTACACGTGTGCCGTACTGCTAGACACGAATGCTAGGTATGGCCCATGCCACCCCACTATATCGAG